TTGTTGTTCCAATACCGCTATATGGACTAGGTTGGTAGGAAGATTTCGTTGTTCCACCATAAACGGCAGGTTGATAATCAGGCTTTGTCGTTCCAAAATCATTATAAGGGCCAGGCTGGTAAGAAAGTTTCGTTGTTCCAGTTCCACTATATGGACTAGGTTGATAAGCAGGCTTTGTTGTTCCATAATCGCTATATGGAGTAGGTTGGTAAGAAGGTTTCGTTGTTCCACCATAAACGCCAGGTTGATAAGCAAGCTTTGTTGTTCCAGTACCACTATATGGATTAGGTTGATAGGAAGGTTTCGTTGTTCCACCATAAACGCTAGGTTGATAAGTAGGCTTTGCCGTTCCAAAATCAGAAGCAGGCTGATACGAAGATTGCGTTTTTCCATCATAGAAAGCAGGTTGATAAGATTTCGTCGTTTGAGCATTGTCGTAAGGATTAGGTTGGTAAGAAGGTTTCGTTGTTACATCATAAACGTTAGGTTGATAAGAGGGTTTCGTCGTTCCAAAGTCAAAACCAGGCTGATACGATGGTTGCGTTTTTCCATCATAGGGAACAGGTTGATAAGATTTCGTCGTTTGAGCACTGTCGTGAGAATTAGGTTGGTAAAAAGGTTTCGTTGTTCCAGTAGCGCTGTAATTAGGCCGATAAAAAGGTTGTGTCTTTTCATCAGCATTTGAAGGTTTATGTCCTTCGGGTTTTCCCGAAGCAGGGCTCACGTTTATATAAAATATTTTACTATCTCCATCCTTCGACGCATTAGTTCTAGATCCTGCATTCGTACCCGAAGAACCTTTCACGCTGCTATAACCTGGCTTTTGAGTTACAGATGGTGCGTTATCGCTCGGAAAACCAGACGTTTGTGCAGTTCCAAACGGACCGTTAGAAGCGATTGGAGATGAATCTGTGGAACCGAATATTGGCGTCTTGCCTGCACCAGAATCGAGACTTATTCCAACGTGAGAATTGGCTGCATTTTGCGATGGTCCACCGTAAGGCCCTGTATTACTTTCTAACGGTTTACTCGCCGAGTATTGTGGTCCATAAGGTACGTTTTGCGGCGGTCCAGGATACCGCCCTTGTCCTATATTTGATCCATATGAAGGTTTATCACTATCGTATGATCTCGTTGGTTGGCCTCCAGACTTATCAATACATTTTTCATAGGGACTACCCGAACATCCAGACGCAGGACTGAAGTAACCAGGAGAACTTTCCTTTTGAACGCCTTCAATTCCTGGGAATGGTAATAGAGCTTGTTTGACAGGAGAAGCACTGTTTGAGTCTGAAACGATACAATTGAAATTCAAAGTATTACGAATTTAAGGACAAACTATTAATTGTAAATGTACAGTGAAGTATATAATGATTCTAATTTTATATAATGATTCTAACCTTGAACACAGCCAGTCTCGCGTTGATAATTTCCTGCACATCCAAAACCTGTTTTAGGCCCATTTTTATCCGTGGATACATCTGCATTCGACCAGGAGCTTCCAGGAGCCGAGTTCCACGCGGAAGGATGCGAACCTGTTCCAGGTGTTGGACCATCATATCTTTGATTCGGTTTTGAACCAGGTTGTTGATTGAACGGTTGTTGTGATCTGTGTGCATCTGTGGTTTGCGAATGGCCACTCGTTGGTGTCACTGTTCCAAAAGGAACACCGCTTCCTGTGTACGGTTGTTGACCATTGAAAGGATTAGGCGCGGCTAATTTCTGCACCCCAGGAGGCGATCCTCCTTTGCTTTTCTGCCTATGATCGTGAACTTTATATTGTCCATCGTCGTAGCACTCGTCTTCGTCTTCTTCTTCCGGTTCAGTTTCTTCTTCGTCCTTCTCCCAATAATCATCGTTCTCCCATTTACATTTGGACCATTTGCAACCACCGTCTTGGTGGCCTCCTCCACCGCTTGGCTGGTTGTGTCCGCCACTGGTGTCGTAACTACGAATTCCTTTGTGTCCCTCGTTTCCTATAAATGTGCTTCCTGTTCCTGAGGAACTATATGCATTCGCCGAAGCGCTGCCTATACAATTGACGAAAAAAGAATTAGTGAAAATTTTTTTAATACATTTCCTCCTATCTTTTTCTTAAATATTTATACGTACTGTATGACAGACTGCCAACATTTCCTTCGTACGCTCCTGAAAAATATATATTCAAGTACAATATAGTGTATTGTGGCCACAGATATTCTACGTTTTTTTCCTTATGCATAGTTGGAATATGATGTAACAATGATGAATCGATATTGAAAAAAAAAAAAAAAAAAAC